TTCCATCAGAAGGGGACCATAGATCACGCTGGAGGACCCGGAAATGCCAAGATAAGTTTTCTCTTTATAAATCTCTAGGTCCTCCAATGGAATTCTATGATCAGCTTTGTAGGATGTAGAGATTCCTAAAGAGAACATATTATTCAAATCCATAAATCATCAAATCCACAAAAGTAAAATCTGCCAACATGGAGGGCTGACTGTAGACCTTTTAATCAATTGCCAAGCGGAAAGTCAAAACTTAATTTAATTCTCCTTGCTTCAGTGAATAGTTGGCAGAAACAATTGGAATTAGGCTGGACTCTCCAGCCTACAGTGGATGGAAGAGTTGCCTTTTGAACAGTCAATTACAGAATATCACAGCTAGCATATCTGACTGTATGTTATGGTTGGTGAGGGAAGGATTAGGGGTGCATCTACACTGTAGAATTAATGCTGTTTGATACCACTTTAACTGCCACGGCTTAGTGCTCTAGCATCCTGGGAGTAATTTGGTGAGGCACTCTTTGGCAGAGAATGCTAAAAGCCTTGTAATCCTATGATTCCATAAGATTGAATCAGACTAGTGAGGGGCAAATTGCATTAATTCTACAGTGTAGGTGCACCCTAGCTTTCCTGTGCCCATGGGCTGATTCTCAATTACTCCTTCCTGAACTTGTTTATTAAATAACATTCCTTCCATACATTTTCTAATGACACTTTGTGTATCAGAATGGGAGGCAGCATCACACAATCCAAAATCCTATATAGTAATCCTGACCAATTTATCCATGAATGCAAAGAAGATGCTGTAGTGAAATGAAGGCTTTTTTCTTGGACTCGAAATAACAGTACTAAAGAGATTATCAATTAAGCCAGTTCCGATTGATGGGAAGCTCCTTACAATTTCTCACTCTGGAAAAGGTAAAGAATGAATGCTTGAAGGCAGAGAGACATGTTCATTGCTTTGTGCTTGGGGATGCAAAACGGCGATCAGAGAAAGGTCGCTAATCCTCATTAATGCAGCCTTCGTTTGGAAATATTTCCGCCTCAGCCTACAAGGGAAATTAGGCTTCTAGGCAAGATAGACACAGATGATTTTACTGTCTTCTTTGATATCAGCTCCAGTGTATTAGCTGACATGAGGGTTGGGCTTAACCTATAAAGAGACCTACTCCCTTGCAAGCTACTATGCAAATTTAATCTGTTGCCTGAACTGCTTAGTAATGACATGAATATATGCCGTTCAATTCCCTGCCCACCCCACACTATCATTTCATTTGCAAACCATTACTTAGTTTTACTCGTAGGGGACTGGCTGTCATGCAAAACCGTTGGTTCTGCTGAGCTTTACTATTTTAACATTTTGCTGAGTTTCTAAAGCAGCTATCATTAACATGGAAGCAACCAATTAATATTATGACTACTCTGGCCTCCTAAATATGCAGATACTCATAGAGCTGAATCTTTTGCTTTCAAGAAAATTGCTTTTTTTAAGGTCATTCTGTGTATGTATGAAACTTCAAATAGTTTCTGGTTCTATGGAGACCCCCTGAATTTTGTAGGTTTCCTTTGCGAAAGAATACACAGCAGTGGTTTGTCAGTTGCTTTCTCTGAAATATAGTCCACAGTATCTAGTATTCATGTGCACCCTCTAACCATGTACTAACCTTGTTTAACTTTCAAGATCAGATGGGATATTCCTGTTTCAAAACTTGAGAAAAGGGGATGTACTAGGCCTTAATCAGAGGTTCCCAACCTTTTTTTGACCTGGGACCACTTGACCAGCGACCACTTTGACCAGGGACCATTCTCGAACATTAGTACCAAAAGGATTACGAATCAGTTTTTGGACAACTTTAGATTTGGTTTGATTATTTGGAGTAATAATTCAGAAGCTTGCATTGGATAGACCTCATCAGCTCTAGTTTCCGATACAGAACATATGCCATACAGTAGTTGCCATCTGCTTGTCCACAGAAAACCATATTTAATAAACGTTGGCACTATACGAGGGTTTCACAAGACCAGTCGCTCTCATTGCAATGGTGTAGTAACAGTGAGGCCACGGACCGTATTTTAGTTCTTGCGGACCACAGGCTGGGAACCACTGGCCTAAATTGACCCACAATGGTCCTATAATATAGTGGGAGGACCCCCCACATTTCTTAAGTGGGGGATGTAAAGAACCCTTACCTTATTAGAAGCCAGGGTGCAGGGCCTAGAAAAGCCTGTAGGTCTAGAAGGATAAGTAATGGGCAAGGCGAAGCATCAGCGGCCATTTTAGAGTAGGGAAGACACCATCTTAGAGAGTTTCAGAGAGGGGGGCGTGTCTTAGGCATTAGACAGCAGGGAATGGCCGGGATTGGTGGAGAAAAAGGGGGCGGAGTTTAGAAGACTCTGAGAGAAAAAAAGGAGCGTTTTAAGTTATAGAGAGTTGTTGGGAATTTGGGGTTTGAAGAGAAGGGGTGTTTAGGAGTTTGGTGTTAAGGGTTAGAAGAAAAAGGCAAAGGCCTAGCCAGAAGTTTGCCAGCAGGGTAGCTAAAGCAAACTGACAGCTATTAGGAGTACAGCTGGGTAGTAGCAGGATAGAACTAGGATTAAGTTTATCTGGGCTACTGAAGAATTTCTGACAGATTCAGTCCTGTTAGGATTCTTGTTTTGTTTTAGAGAGAGAGAAAGRCCCGAGTTTGGCCAGAGTTACTAGCGGGGATAGCTAGTATTAAGTTAACAGCTATTAGGAAGATAGCTGGGAAGTAGAAAGATAGATCCAGGTTAGGACTATCTGTGCTGCTATAAGAATTACTGTCAGACAAAYTATCCTGTCAGTAYTCTTGTGTGGAGGGAGAAAGGAGAGTCTCTTGTGTAACAAAAACAGAACTATTCAYGTAACCRWCACGCTTTTAAGACACAACTTTCTGWAACAGCCWARATWTTRACWGCATTTGTWCCYRTTCTAATTAATAAACTTTGTTGAWTATTGTTCATCAAAACCTGACTCAAGTGTGCCTCAAAGTTTGAAGATYACAAAAGCAACTTTTGAAGAAACTAATGGTGRCAGCATACTTTCAAAGTAAATAAGCCYTTTAAAATTTGGTTAACCCTTGACAATTGRTGGTCGCTCTWWRTATTGRTGGCAGCATTGATTAGTGATCTGAATAGATCTTTATAATTTGGTCTCCAGCGATTGAGATCGATTTGCTAGATTCTTTATAATTGGTGGCAGCGAGTGAGATCTGATTTATCTGATCGTTATAGGGGACACAACGATTTTTGAAAGAAATGAACAATTTTGTATTAGACCCTTGGGAGACCCAGCAACCTTCAAACATGGTGGAAATGCCTTCCAACTCTTTAGAACAGGGGTCCTCAAACTTTTTAAAACTGAGAGCCAGGTCACAGTCCTGGCCCTCAGTTTAAAATCTGTTGAAGGGCCAGATTATAATTTGAAAAAAGCATGAAAGAATTGCTATGCACACTGCACGTATCTTATTTGTAGTGCAAAAAACACTTAAAAACAATACAATAATTAAAATGAAGAACAATTTTAACAAAAATAAACTTACCAGTATTTCAATGGGAAATGTAGGCCTGCTTTTGGCTGATGAGATAGGATTGTTGTTGTTGTGTGCTTTCAAGTCGTTTCAGACTTAGGTTGACCCCCGAGTGAGGGCCGGGTAAATGACTCTGGAGGGCCATATCTGGCCCTCAGAACTTAGTTTGAGGATCCCTGCTTTAGACTGTTTTGAGCATTTTGGAGCTATTTTACAAATCCTGCAGGCTCCAGTAGGACCACCCCTGATGTTGCCATGGCAATTAAGTTGTAATCATTGTGCAGCACCTGTGCAGCATGAAAGGACTCACAGAGACTGACAATGATCAAATCCAATTAAAGAAACAGAATTAAGCCATAGAAGAGATCATAAGTACACTGCAAGAAAAAAGAATGCAACTGCTTAGTTCAAGTCTTCTTCCATAGCAACCCAGCTTAATTGCCAAAGGTCATTCTGAATAAAAAGCAGTGGAGACCAATGAGACATGTGAAAACCTAATCAATTTGTAGACAGTTTCAGAATTTAAATGCCTGTTGAGGAACATGACACAAGTGGCAAAGCTTGTAATATGCAAAATCACAGTAATCAAACTACTAATGACAAGAAAGTCGGAAATAGTTATTTTTAAGTTCATTTATTAGCAGAATATATTGCGAGCGTGAGGTAAACTGAAAGCCTATGATGCTTATGTAAGCATTTTGTATGTTAAGGAAAATAATTCAACTCCAGTTAATGGATGTATAAAATGGAGGTATTACCCAATCGTGTACACAGGGATTTATAGAGGAAAATGCACTTCCATTTTATTTAATGGTCACCTTTCAGTCGTCCATTTTCTGCTGCAATATTTTGCCTACATGAGAAATATTCCAGAAGTCCATCAAGAATTATTGTGGCAAATGTGAAAAAATAAAGGCTTCAAAGGCTTCAAAGGAAAAGAAAAGTACAAAGGAAGAAAGAAGCTGTTAGCAAGAAATGAGCAAGGCCAATCCAAGGAAGTTTCAGAGCATATTGGTAGGTGTACTGTTAGAAAGGACAAGAAAATGAGCCATACAGTTAATGGAAAATTGAGCCAAGTCAAAAAACCAAGATCAGTTTGGTTAAGATGCATCTGAATGCCTGTGATTTATCTATTTGAGAATCAGGGAGGTGCTGATTTCTACTGATGCTTCACTCATTCATTTTAGAACTATTCTGAATTTCAAGCTGGCATCCTAAACCTGTGTTTGCTCCATATTTCCCTTGCTATGCATCCCACGTGAACTCAATCAAAATTACACTGAATCTCCCATGAGATTTTAGGCCACAAGATAAAAGGTTGTTTTCTAAAAAATGTTGGAATGTGTCCCCCCACAATAAAAAAGATCTGAGTGTGTGACTATGCCAACATATCTTGGATTTAACTTCAGAGTATATCTTCAGCAGTTCACAAAAATATAACCACACATAACAAATACACAAAAAAAATCGCTTGCAAAATATTTTATATATTTTCTTTTGTAAAAAACCACACAAAGTTCAGATTGCTTCAAAAGATCTTGGAAGAAAGTGCCATTCTGAGCAAGAAGATAAACTATTTACACATGGAGTCGGATACAGTTTCACTCACTATTTTACATGTTAAACCTTCTCTTTGCTTTATGCCTTCTTTACAAAGCTTAAGAGTTCTTCTTTCTCCATTCTGTATCCACTCTTTTTCCACTGATCCCGTAGCTCCTGCAACAGGACACCAATTTCTTTCCCAGATGAAATTCCTGTTCTTCTAATGTCATGGCCACTCACAGGAAAAGTAGGGACAGACCACTGTTGCATTTCATTCAGAAGACCTTCCTCCCCTTGATACTTTAGAAGCTCACAGATTCTGGATGTTGCATCAACTTCCCTCGACTTAAGAAAAAAACAAAACAAAAATAAAAACACATAACAATTTGAGAAATTTATGCACATAATAATACTGTATTAATAATAGTAGTATTGCAAACATCCAAGTAAAACTGCCAGTCTAATGCCCCAATAAGAATGTCAAAGACAGCCAAAAGCAGGTATAATAAAAAGCTGAACCAAAGTCAGGAATTATCCAGAAGTCTCTGGTGTAAGAATTGTGGTAAAATATTTAATCTGAAGCAATGGTGCAAGATCACACTTACATCTATAATGAAGTCTTGATATGGCTTAAGTGGTTCTGTAGTATCAATAGCTTTGACCAAGTCTCTCCTGTGCTTCAGTAAAAACAGGCCAAGGTTTTTTTCATCTTTTGAAATTTTCAGCCTTAAATCCAGTTTTGAGATGTCATCTGGGACCTTTAACAGTGATGTTAGAACTGTCATTGGTTTTGGAAAGAGATTCTGAACATTTTTACAGACTGTGTCAAATTCTTGTAAGTTCCCATTAACAGGCAATCCTGAGGGACACACACAAAAAAGGAACATGAGAACAGTGTTGTTGTTGTTGTTGTTTTAAAAAAAACCCCTCAAATGGCTAGATGTAATTTATCAATAAACACGTATCCCTCGAGGTAATGCTAGACACCAATGTCCATTAACTCTATAACCAATGGACGTAGCAGACAAATAATATCAAAACAGGGGTTCCAAACTTTGGTTCTCCAGATGTTTTCGGCTCCAGCTCCCAAAACTCCATGTTAGCCGAGTGGCCTTGAGCTTCTGGGAACTGAAGTTCAAAACACATGGACAATTAAAGTTTGGGATCTAATAGAGAATTAGCCACATTTTCTGGCCCTACACACTTATTAACAATATTGTGCTGTGAGTTGTCACAAAACTACAACTAACAGGATCACAGAAGTAGCATTTTGACTGCAAACTCATAATGGACATCTTGCCCCAGAACTAGGATCAGAGCGAATACTGGCAGAACTATATCAATATCATCCATAAACCAAACTAATAATGAGCAAAACCTAAGCTCATGCAAGCCCTCAAAACCTAAGCTCATGCAATTATTAATTTTTAAAATGAAGCACATAGCTACTTACTGTAGGATTTGCCCCTGAAACAATAGTACTCCCTATCACTAATGTTCTACATTGCAGTAGGATTATTGCTCTGCAGACTCACTGAACTTTACCTATGTAGCTGGCTACATCGAGTTCATACATTAGGCAAATAAGATGATTTGCATGATTCCCAACAAGGATCTTCTTCAATTCCATCCAAATCCTCTCGCCTGATATCCCAGCCAGGCCTTTGGCATTTGCTTTGATGGCTTCCAGAGTTTTGGGTTCGTGGTCACCAGGCTTTTCTGCAATCCTGCCGTAAAACCTAAGAGAAGAAAATAACTCAGTGATTAGAACAAATATGTATTTTTAAAGGTAGCAAAGGCACTTTGGAAGACTAGCTGCTCTCATTCTGAAAATGCAGATTTTTGATATGCAAGTGCTGCAAATGAATACTGACTAACATGTAAAGAATAAGGCAGAGCAGTTTGAGTATTGTGTTTGAATACACTGTGCACAACTATGAATGAGGAAACAGGGCTATTAGTAAACCATGTAGCAGTCAGTCCATGTGGTGCCAGATCATATCCATTAGAAATAGAAAACTGCTACCTGAAATATCGCAGAATTCTTAAGTAATCTTCTTGTATTCTCTGGTTCGCATGTCCTACAAATCGGACTTTTTTGTTTTTTAAATCATCATAGCCATTGAAAAAGTCATAAAGTGTGCCATCCAGGCCTACAAAACAAATACAAAAACGTCAACAAAAACAATTCAGGCCCCTTCCACAAAACTGAATAAAATTCCATATTTTCTGCTTGGAACTGTAATATATGGCAACGTGGACTCAGTTATAAAGCAGATATATAGCTGTGTGGAAGGGCCCTCAGAAGGTCATTTTAAAAGGGCATGTTTTGATGCTACACTTCACTTTAGCATTTGAACAAAGCAAATAGAAGTACAATATCTGAGTCAATTCAAGATTCAAGAAATTTGAATCTCATAGTTTTCCACGTCTGAAGTTGTAAATGGTATGACCTCTGGCCAATCTAAGGAGCCATCTGTCTCATCATGAACTTGTTGCAAGGAAGACCTCCCTGAGAATATAATCCCTTGTGAAGAGCCACTTCATGGGCATGATTTAATCATGTGTTGCTCCAAGAGTAAGATGATATTAATGGAAAGGTTTACTACTGGCAGCATGTACATTATATGCTGTTACAGGCTGAGCATCACTTATCCTGATTTCCAAAATCCAAATTACTCCAAAATCCAACAGTGTTCTCACAGACGACTAAGATAGTTACACCTTTGCTTTTTGATGGTTCAATGTACATAAACTTTCTTTCATGCACAAAATTATTAAAAAATATTGTGACTAAAATTTCCTTCAAGCTATGTGTGTAAGGTATATATGAAATATAAATGAATTTTGTTCAGCGAGGTGTATATGAAATATAAATGAATTTTGGGTTCCATTTCCAAGATATCTCATTATGCATATATATGTAAATACAGGCATTCCAAAATGTTTTTTTAATTAAAAAAACCTGGAAACCAAAGCTTTTCTGTCCCAAGCATTTCAGGTAAGAGATACTCAACCTGTACTAGCTGACAATTGAGATGGGCTGCAAGAATTACTCGACAAAATCAGTGAAGTAAGTCTTAAACAAACCACATTCACAGTCGTTAGCAAAAGGTAAGAAGACCAAAACATGTAATAATCTAAAATGCAAGCATATATTGACAAATATAAATCTCTTAGAATCAGATTAAACAAACAGCACAATCATAATCATGCAATAATAATTAGATAAGAGAATAGCCAGAATGGTTTTTCAAAAGATGAAAGAAAGATATATCACTAGATTTCAACCCAAGCCCATTTCCCTCATAGCTGATCATGGGGAAATTTTCAGAGGAAATAATGATAAAGAGATTTAGAATTTACAAAAGCAGAATTGCCATTGCTAATTTAGGAGATGGTTACCTAGGAACATAGAATTAATTGTGAGATCTCTCCTCTCAGCATCTTTTTCCCAATCAGTCGTGAATTCCACTTCTGCATGCCTCCCATCAGTAATTAGGTCAATCCGAAGTGTGGTAATTTCAAAGTTCTGCTCATGAAGCTGTAAGAGAATTTTGAAAAGTCTTAATCCAGTTTTGGGAAAATAGCATCTCTTCCCAAATGGGAAGGAAACAAATATATGTATATCATGCTAGAATATAGACCATTAATGCATACACACATACATACCACTTTGTGACATTGTGAGGGAAGAATGTTTCCAGCCTCTCTTCTTCCCTTGTTGTTAAACAGGGGACAAATTTCTTATAAGTGCTGTGAGTTTCCCACTTTGGTCTCTAAACCAATCACTTTTTTTTCACTCTTTGATGCCTCACTACAAATCTATTCCTTTCTCTTGGTCAGTGATGATTAATGTTCTTAACAAGTGTGCCATAGTTGTATGAAAAACATGTAGGATAACACAGCCTTCCCTACCGTGGCTTCATCCAGATGTGTTAAATTACAACTCCTATCACCCCATGAGGACAGTCCCCAGAGATGACAGGAATTGCAGTCTAACACATCCTGCAATCAAAGTAGTATGCGCTACAGCATAAATGCACTTATCTTGTGCTTGGCAGAATATATCTATAGCATTCTGATGCAAGGAGCAGGCGGCCTGCCTCTGAGAGTCAAGGAGTAAATCACTGGCCACAGATCTGCTGCAGATGCATGCTGCTAAACATATCTCATCCATGAGAGACTTTTAAAAAAACCCTTTAAGGCCCCTTCCACACAGCTGAATAAAATCCCACAATAACTACTTTGAACTGGAATATATGACAGTGTGGACTCAGAGAATCCGGTCCACAAATATTGCGGGTTATATGGCTGTGTTATATGGCCCTAAAATTCATGAATGGAGTTTGGCAGCATACTGAACACAGCAGTGCTTTTAACAACACAGTGCTATATGGACTCTGGCTTGATGGCCCAGGGATCCACTCCAAACAAGCATTTAAGTCAGCTTTATATGGAATTCTTATAAAAACATGCAATGTCAACAATGGATCAACAAAGAGATATGACAACCATGCAACGAACCAAAGAAAAGTAACCACTATATCCAAACTATGTGTGTCACACTGATTCTTTGTATCATTTTCTGGTGTTCAAGCTGAGTGTGTCAAGATATTTTGGAAGCATGTTTTGTAAATGTTTAATTTAACTTGAAAATCATGAGGAGTGCACAACAATCACCATATTTTGGCCAATTGTTTTCTTCAACATGGTTACACTCATTTAAGCCTTATGGTCACTTTCTGACTTCTCTCCTTCATTGCTCATCTTCTCAACAACAGAGGGCCCTTCCACACTGCTCTATATCCAAGAATATCAAGGCACAAAATCCCACAATATCTGCTTTGAGCTGGGTTATCTGAGTCCATACTCAGATAATTTGGGATTTTCTGCCTTGATATTCTGGGATATAGGGCCCTGAGTTCCCAGATTCTATTGGACTAAATTTCTTAGGTTCCCTTATCATTGGGAAGACGACATTATCTGGGGATGCAAGGTTAGCAAGAACTGATCAAGGCCAACACTCTCACAAACCAGCATCCTCAAGATGTTTTGGAAAACATATCCATCGTCTTCAACTCAGTATCATAGTGGCCCTGCTGGCTAAGGAATAAAGACACCTGTAGTTCAATATATCTTGATTTAGGGAAGCTGCTTTAGATTTTCTGGAAGATACTTTCCCAGACAATGGATTCTGTCATGACAAGGGAACACATAATAATCGTAATAATAGTAATAGTAATAATAATAATAATAATAATAATAATAATAATAATAATAATAATAATTTTGTACTCAGCCTCCATCTTCACGAAGAGACTAAGGGCGGATTACACTTGGGACAAAATGTCCACAGAACATCAAAGCAAAACAATCCATTAAAAACAAAACAAAACGATGAAAATAAAATAAAACACAGCAAAGCATAACAACCAGATAAAAACATAACCAAATAAAACATAACAAAGAATAACATGCAGAAGCCTCCTGAAGTACAGATCCTCAAACATACAGAAACACAAAATTGTGTTTGGGACACCTTCTAAGTTTCAAAAAGTTGTATATATCTTTACCCTGGCAGTGATGGTTCCATGTTTTTCCCCTCGATTGTTGATCATACGGACACCCGCAGCCTGGAACATCTCCTTCATCTGAGTAGGTGTGGCAGTGGTGGCAAAGTCAACGTCTTGTGGCTTCATGCCACTGAGTAAGTCCCTCACAGCACCTCCGGCTATTCGGAGTTCATAATTTGTTCTGTCAAACAGTTCTGGTAGAAGGGAGGAGTGGAAAAATAAGTAATAACACAAATTCTTACATGGTCTGTAATTATTCAAACACATACACCTCTTCTGTCCCTTTACAGTTAATTGAGTTTTACTAGGGCAATTAATAAATGAAACAAGTCAAGATGGGAAAAAATTGCATCATGGCAGACAGTACCAGCCCTATCTTTGGATGCAGTGAGGAAACAGCCTCTAGCAGCAGATTGTGGGAGTCATGACAGAAGGGGAAGTTGTTAGCAATTTAATTTGTCATGAGTGTATTTTTCCTGCCAGGGATGGCAAGAGGCAGTTGTAGAATTTTCTGTACCATGTGCCAAAGTAACTTGGCTAACTCTTGATATTTCTGACTAGGTGGGTGAACTACAAAATAACCTAGACTGGCCTTGATAACTATACAATGCACTTTCATATTTACTACACATTCAGTTTATATTTCCCCCATGTGGTTAATACACCATATTCACCTAAATGTCCCATTTATTTTGATGACAGTGCTCTCCTAAATTCGCATCATATGGGAGACATATATCTGCAGAGATCTCATGGCTGTTCATGACTAGTTACATCTTGGCACTAATAATTAAGTAGATTAAACCTGTTTTCATAGATGAGTTCAAGTATGGGATGATAAAGCTGCACCTTTCCCTTTCAGACCATGCTTTTTGACATTTCATTTTAATACAGAAAGCTCTATTCCTTCTCAGGTGACAAAATATGCAACACAGGTAATAACACAATATCTCTCGGGTGAGATGAAAAATAGGATAATATTTAACTTATCAGACAAACCCAGAGTTCATGAACACAGTGACATGACTCTTCAAAACCAACAATACTTTACTCAGCTGCAAATGACCTATTGATACTTACCATAGTGCCAAGGAACTGAGGAGTAAATAATTTCGCATTCATACTGAAGCATCCTCATCCAACAAGATAAAGTACAGGCAGTCCTTAAGTTACAAACAAGATAGATTCTCTAGGTTTGGTAAGTTGAATTTGTGTGTAAGTAGGAACAGGTACATTTTTAAGTGTAACTCCAGCCATATATTTGTACAGTAGAGTCTCACTTATCCAACCTTCACTCATCCAACGTTCTGTATTATCCAACGCAGTCTGCCTCCCGTCCAGAACCAGAGATGTTTCAATATATTGCAATGTTTTGGTGCTAGATTCGTAAATACAGTGATTACTACATAATATCTCGTATTGAACTGCTTTATCTGTCAATTTGTTGTAAAACATGTTGTCTTGGTGCTTAATTTGTAAAGTCATAGTGTAATTTGATATTTAATAGGCTTTACCTTAATCCCTCATTATTATCCAACGTTTTCGCTTATCCAATGTTCTGCCAGCCTATTTATGTTGGATAAGCCAGACTCTACTGGACTGGATGTCCCACGAGGTCTCTTCCAACTATGATTCCATATATCTTTTAGCTTTGGGTGGCACAGGGGAGGGTTAACACCCCTGTGGTGTTTGTTTTGCTGTCTGTGCCCCTGTTCAGAAGATGTCACCTCACTTTCTGTGCCTGTGACAATCAGATATTTTTTTAAAAAATTGCTCCAAAAATGTGGAAAAAGTACATCATGCAAGTTTTCTAAGTTTAATTAGCTTCTGATGAGGCAAAGATGTTAGAAAGCATACAAGAGAAGAAAAGCAGTTGTGTCAGACAGTCTGCCTCAGATGTTACTTCTAGTACCATTTAATTTTTAATATCTTGTCTCATGAAAAAGCCATTTTAGCTGACCCAGTAAAGGTATTCTGTTTTGTGGATTTTACTGTGGGAGGAAGCAAAGGAGAGAGCAAACATAGCTACCCATGAATATTGCACTTTCATATTCCTTGTATGAGGGTTGAATAAAAAGTAATGCCTCCACCTTCATAACTCAACAGATGGCAGTACTGATATGCGGCAGGTACTGGCTTGTTCAGTAGACTCTCCTCTACAGTTCCATTTTGGCAGAAAGCCTTAGCATTGAACGGTTGTGTTGTTAAAGTGCGAAGTATGAAACCCTGCACAGATGGTCAGTCAATGCGACTTAAGCAACATGCAGTCATTGAATTCTTGACAGCAGAAGGTGTCACCTCAACATCTTTAAACTTACTCGCCCAATGATGCACAGTACTCACATCAATACAATCACCATAAACAGCTTGCATTCTCTGATGAATCTCCTTTGGGGTGATACCTTCTGCTGTCAATAATTCAATGACTGTATGTTGCTTAAGTCACATTGACCGACCGTCTGCGCAGGATTCCATACTTCACACTTTAACAACACAACCGTTCAATGCTAAGGCTTCCTGCCAAAATGGAACTGTAGAGGAGAGTCTACTGAACAAACCAGTACCTGCTGCATATCAGTACTGCCATCTGTTGAAGAGTTACAAAGGTGGAGGCATTACTTTTCATTCAACCCTCGTAAATGTTCCTTGCTGCTCTCAATTAGTAGTTTTAAGGTTCTAAACCAGGTATGATTCCTATTGGCTGTTAGGAATTGTGGGAGTTGAAGTCAAATGCCTGTTCTAAACCTTCTCAGAAAACAAAGCACTTCATACCTGCTACACTTTTGAGTCCTGGTGTGAAGAGGGACTGGAATTCAGCCGATTCCACCTTCATTGTACTTAAATGTTGCCACAAGATTGTAAGTCCTGCTCTGCTGCGGGAGGAGAGAGGAAGACCTGCCTTGCAGCCCAGGCCAAATAGGTGGCTCCACATCTGAGGAAAAGGGCAGACGTGAACAAAATGTCATGTTGTTATTTATTTATTTGTTCTTATTATTTTTTCTCATCATCTCAGGCCACTAGAAATACAAGGTTACTATGATTTCTGTAATGGGTACATAGAAACGTCCAACTCACTGTGGGCTAGGGACCAAGGCACGCCACGATTTCAGAAGAAATCGGAAGATCACTGAGCCACAGAAGTGATGAGACAGATTTAAAATTGGTGAGTATATTTTCCAGGTGTCCATTACACCTAAAGAGAATAGCCATGTTATTTACATCAGGTGGACTAAAACTCAGGAAGCCTCTGTTTCAGCTTTCCTCTGCCATGAAGGATCACCTCACGCAAGCCATCGTCTTGGTGCATCTATTTATTTATTATTTATTTACAACTTTTATATTCTGCCCTTCTCACCCCGCAGGGGACTCAGGGCGGATTACAGTGTACACATATATGGCAAACATTCAATGCCAATTTTTGACATACAAACATATACAGACATACACAGAGGCTATTTAACTTTTTCTGGCCGCCAGGGGAGCTGTCGCTTTCATCGTCCATCTGTGACGCTGATTAAGCACTTCCGCATTCCCCGCATGCTTCCCTGCTGGAATGCTTTCCTGGAGTCTTCTTTATGGCCTCATAAATCAGTTAATTTAGCCTCCCACACTTTAAGGGGGTACCTAATTTTCCTACTTGACAAATGTAATTGTCTTTCGGGTTGCAAGGGTCAACAACAGGCTACACAATTGGTTGGAAACCCACTTCAACCCGGGCTGGCTTCGAACTCATGACCTTTTGGTCAGAGTGATCTTAATGCAGCTGACACTCAGCCAGCTGTGCCACAATCCCGGTGCCACGCAATTTGAAATCACTTTAACTGCCATGGCTCAATTCTGGGAGTTGTAATTGTACAAGGTCTTTTGTCTTCTCTACCACAGTGCTGGTGTCTCACCAAACTACAACTCCCACAATCCCAAGAAATGAGCCATGGCACTGAAACATGATGTCAGATGACAATGTAGATCAAACTTCGGCCCTCCAGGTGTTTTGTGCTTTTACTCCCACAATTCCTAACAGCCGGTAGACTGTTAGGAATTGTGGGAGTTGAAGTCCAAAACCTCTGGAAGGTCGAAGTTTGCCCATGCCTGGTGTAGATGCTCCCACTGTCTCAGTTCCCCTAGGTGGGCAGTTTTGGAGAATTTTCCATTTGTGGATAAGGGATACTCAGCTTGTATTCATTCCCACCTCCCAAAGAATGCAATCCAGTATCTGAACCAGCCTCCCAAAATCAACTCCCTCAGGATCAATAGTCCCAAAATCCCCAAAGGCAGAGTTGAGGCAGAAGTAATGGCAGGAGAGGAGAGGGGAAGGGGTGAGGGTTGGGGAAGCTGGAAAGGGAGGGAAGGAGCAAGGAGGAAGAGGAGAATGGAAGAAAGAAAAGGAGGAGGAAGGAGAGGGAAGGAAGGAAGGCGGGAGAAAGGAAGGGGGAGGGAAGGAAGGACAGATGGAGAAAGGAGGGAGAGAAGCAAGAAAAATGGAGGGCTGGAGGGAGGGAAAGAAGAAAGGAAGGGAGAGAGGGAAGGCAAGAAGTAGAGGAGAGAAGGGAAGAAAGAAAGAGAAGGAAGGAGGGAGAAAGGAAGGAAGGAGGAGAGGAAGGAAGAAGAAAGGAGAGAAGGAGGAAGGAAGGAAGGAAAGGAGGAAGGAAGAGGGAGGGAGGAAGAGAAGAAGGAAGGAAGAAGGAAGGAGAGAAGAAAGGAAGGAAGGAAGTAGAAGGAAGGAAGGAGAAGGAAGAGGGGGGAGGAAAGGAGGAGAAGGAGAGAGAAGAAAGGGGAGAAAGAAAGGAAAGAAAAAGGGGGAGGAAGGAAGAGGGAGAGAGAGAATGAAGAAAAAGAAGGAAAGAAGGAAGAGAGAAAGAAAGGAGGAGGAAGAAAGAAGGAAGAGGAGAGAGGGAAGGAAGGAAGGACAGAAGAAGAGGAAGGAAGGAAGGAAGGAAGGAGAGAGGGAAGGAAGGAAGGAGGAGGAAGAAAGAAGAAGGAGAAAAAGGGAAGGAAAGGAAGGGGAGGGAGGAAGGAAGAAAAGAAAGAAGGAAGAGGAAGGAGGACAAGGAAGGAGGAGAGAGAAGAAGGGATGGAGGAGGGAGGGAGAGAAAGAAGGAAAGGAAGAGAGAGGAGGAAGGAAGAAGGGGAAGGAAGAGAAGAGGAAGGGAAGGAAGGAGGAGAAGAAGAAAGGGAAGAGAGGGAAGGAAGAAGGAGGAAGGAGGAGAAGAAGTGAGGGAGGAGGGAGGGAGAGAGAGAGGAGGAAGGAAGGAGGAGAGAAGAAGAAGAAGAGAGGGAGGAAGGAAGGAAAGAGAAGGAAGAGGAGGAAGGGCTGGAACCGAGGGAGGGAGAGAGAGAGGAAGGGAAGGAAGGAGGGAGAGAAGAAAAGAAGGCGGGAAGCAAGGAGGAAGGAAAGGAAGGGGAGGGAGGGAGAGAAGGAAGAAAAGGAGGAAGGAAGCAGGAAGGAGGGGATGGGAGGGAGGAGGGGGCCAAGGGAGGAAGCGGGGAGAGAAGGATGCAAGCAAGAAGGGCTGGAGGAAGGGAAGGAAGGAGGGGAGGGCGGGAAGAAAATAAGGAGAGAGGGAGGGAAGCCATCTGCGCCTCACCCGGGGTTCCCTCGGCCGGCTTTTTCCGTCTCCGGAGTTTTGCGTTCAGGCCGGAAGAGGCAGGCCCCGCGCAGAGGGCTCCTCCTCCTCCTGTTCTTCCTTTTCCTCTTTGCTCCTCCTTCCTGCTCTTTCCCCTTCCCGCTTTCATTGCAGTGGGGCTGCTGTCGGAGTGGCGTGGTGTCAGGCTGCCATTCATTCCGCCCTATAGATGCACCCCCCCCCCATGTTTTTGGGGTGCTTCCCTGCAGGCTTGAGAGTGCATGGAGATCCCTCGGTGTGGGGATTCGGTTCAACATTGCAGGCCAATCTGATAAAATATGACCAAGGCTCCGTCTACACTGCCATACACAGTCCACATTATCTGCTTTGATCTGGATTATATGGCAGTGTAGACTCATATAATCCAACTCAAAACAAATAATTTGTATGATCTCATTTGACAACCTGGATTATATGGCAGCACAGATCCAGCCAAGAGGAAAATAATAATAATAATATCACACAGTCAGTCAAGGTGGTCCTAGTGATCAGCACACTGGGTGCAGTGCCTATGGTTTTAATAACTGTTTTGATATTTGGTGATGTACTGTTTTTAATATGATTTATGTTTAAAGTGTGGTTTTACTATTATAGTTCTAAGTCATTGAATTTTTGCCATTATCTATGTGTAAATGCTTTGAGTCCCCCTCGAGGTGAGAAAAGCGGTATATAAATACTGTAAATAAATAAATAAATAAATACTCATATATTAAATAATAATGATGATGATGATGATGATGATGCTTTTTTGTATTCTGCCCTATCTCTCCTAAGGGGGCTCAGGGCCCTTTCACACAGCCCTATATCCCAGAATATCAAGCCAGAAAATGCCAGAAAATGCCACAATATCTGCTTTGAACTGGGTTATCTGAGTCCATACTCAGATAATGTGGGATTTTCTGCCTTGATATTCTGGGTTATAGGGCTATGTGGAAGGGCCCTAGGACTGTGATGCAGATCTGTGTCTGCAGATCTGAGCAGGGTAGCCTTTTGCAGCTGATAATGAACATGATAATGTTGTCAGCCCTAATTGTTATTAAGTGCAGACCCTCCACCCAGTGTGCCAGTCACCACTGGGACCACCTTCACTGTCTTGTACCAGAATCTTTGCAGTTCAGTCTTTAAATCTGCATATTGTGTAAGCTTTTCCAGTTGCTTCTTGTCAATTTTTCAGTTGCCTGGGATTGCAACATAGAAGATGCATACTTTGGTTTTTCCCCCCATGATTGTGTTATCAGGAGTATTGTGCTCCAAAACTGTCAGTCTGAATTCGGGAATCCCAGAGTATTATTATTATTATTATTATTATTATTATTATTATTATTATTATTATATCTACTTATTCCCCACTTATCTGAAGGGAACTCAAAACAGCTTAACATAAAAGCATCAGCATAACCATGTAAAATATACAAATATACGAACATTAAAACAAGATTAAATATAAACAGAGATTGAATCCCCTGATCAGGTCCTATTTTTTGACATGATGGCTTGTTCCCTTCTTCTCCGCTCAGTTCAGATTGCGTATTATGTTGGTCAAAACATTTTGGACACACCAGCTGTGTATACAATCTGTACAGAACTGCCCAAACATTAGTTTCCCACATTTCCATGAGATTTGGGAGGCAGGCTTTGGAGAAATGGGTTGCTTCATGTTGCCAACCTTTCCTTCCCTCGGCCTGCATTCCTTTGCTGCATCATCCTGGAACAAGGGCCACTGCAAGTAATGGCCTGTCACACAGCCAAACTCCAGCCACGGTCTATAGTTTTATTTTAAACAGAGCAGTTTCGTTTTACACACACAGATTGCAAAAGCATCTTCCAAATTTTGGATGTTAGTTGTCCATTTCATTTTAAATATAGAGAGAGATCAGGAACATTTTTCCACTCACCATTTGTACTGCTGTTCCAGCACAGTTCTTTTTTTAAAAAAAAAATCATAAACTTTTTGGAACCAAAATATTTTAAATGTCCAGTTCTTGAACTTGGCTTGGACTTTACATTTCATAGGCATGGATCTCGAAGGAAGAATGTTTCATAATGATGGCCCCAATTTCAAAGCAGTATAGTTCACAATGCAACAAGGTTACGATTACACAAAAGTCACAAATGGTTTAATGAGTTATCAACAAATCCAATGTAATTAACCATTTTGAGCCAGCAGCCAATCTAAATAATAACTCTGAATGGAAAATATAACATAACCCTTACATCACCATCTTACAAATGACCGAAGCCCCTTCTACACAGCTGTATATAAATCCATATTGAACTGGATTATATGGCAGTGTGGACTCAGATATCCCACTTCAAAGCAGATATTGTAGCTTATCGGCCTTGATATCCTGCATTATATAGCTGTGTGGAAGAGCCCTAAGTATGAACAGAGTCATAACATTGAAAAGGACAGCAAAGCCCATCGAGTCCAATCTTCTGTATCTGCAGAAGATAAAGGTAAAATACTCCTAAAAGATGCAATCCAAACTTTGTTTAAAGAACTCTAGTGAAGGAGAGTCTACCATCTTCTATTATTCTGCTGCTGAATACGTTTTATCATTCAGAATTTTATGTGGAACCTTCTTTCTTGTAATTTGAATGCATTGGTGCAAATCCTAGTTTCATGAGCAGCAGAAGAAAACAAACTTCTCTATATATTTAAATATGACTATTATAATATTATTATTTATTATTAACTTTATTTGTACCCCGCTAGCATCTCCCGAAGGACTATATGTGGCTTACAAAGGCCGAGGCCTCAAAACACAACACAACAATACAACACCTAAAGCAAATTAAAAACAGTTAAAAACTATCTTGTCACCTCTCAATCTTTTCCAAGTTAACCAAACTAAAATTAGTCACAGAGAATGGTTTCCAAACCTTTACCACCTTGCTCACCCCTATCTGGACAAATCTATGCTCTAATTTATTTATATACTTGCTTGGGTACCTGGCGTTGCCTGGGTTATTTGAAGAAAGCTATTTTTTAAAAAAAATTGTGCAAAATGCATAAGGTTGTGAATTAAGTACAACTGACATCATACCAGGTTAACCTCGAGAAATTCACATCAGTACTTAAAGTTTGTTACGTTGGGTAAGTTTGCTCTAGATGCATCATCGGTTGCTCTCTGGCTGCAAGATAAACTACAACTCCCACCATGGTGAGTCAGTCCCCTCAAACCCCTACAGTAGGTTCAGTTGATCATGTGGGTTTTGTGTGCCAAGTTTGGTCCAGGTCCATCACTGGTGGTGGTCACAGTTTCTCTGGTTGTGGCTGAACTACAACTCCCAGAAAGGAAGGTTGGCTCCGCCAACGCCAATACGTAAGATGGCATCTAGCCATCTTACGTATTTCCGAAATGGACGGAAATACAAAAATATTTGGCGCATGCCGTTTCGATATTTAAAAACACTTCCGGGTTTAAAAATAAGTTTTGTAATCGTTTTGTAATTGCTAAAATTAACGAATATTTAACGAATTACAACATTAACGAACGAAACCACCCAGGCCTAATGTCCATGGTTCTGCTCACTATAATCTGCAGTGTCATTGGAGGGAGGGCCATTGGTGTCTCCTGAGTAGTGGAAGCTATAGCTGTTTGTGGAGGCAGCCACACACACATACACACAGACATACATATTTTCACCTTTATTATATGTATTTTTAATTTTATTTATTTACCGCATTTGTATACTACCTTTCTCAGCCAGAGGCGACTCAAGGCGGTTCACAGCTGGCAGCGATTTGATGCCATAACAAATATCAAAATGCAGTTAAACCAATTATAAAAACCATTCAACATTTACAATGTAATATAAAAACAACAGTATCTGTAAAAAAACCAAGATCCTCAGTGTCTCCTTACTAAAATCAGTTGCATCATCAGTCATTCCATATATTCGTATTTGTCTAACTATGCTCCAGTAGTAAAAGCTTGCTCGAAGAGCCATGTCTTAACCATTTTGCAGAATGTTAGAAGGGAGGGAGCCAATCTTATCTCCCTGGGGAGGGTGTTCCATAGTCGAGGGGCCACCACTGAGAAGGCCCTGTCTCTCGTCCATGCCAAATGCATCTGCGAGGAAGGTGGGATCAAGAACAGGGCCTCCCCAGACAATCTTAAAGTCATAGAAGAGAGATATGTTTGGATAGGTAAGCCAGACCGGAACCGTTTAGGGCTTTATAGGCTAATGCCAGCACTTTGAATTGTGCCCAGTAGCAGACTAGCAGCCAGAGGAAGAGGAATGCTGTGCTCCCTGTGCGCCGCTCCTGTTAGCAACCTGGCTGTCGCTCGATGGACCATATATGGCAGTGTAGAAGCGGATATGTTTTTTATCTGTATATAGTGTATATACTGATCATTTTCCTCTTGCCCAAGTTGGCTTTGTATCTCATGATTATGGAGTTAGGCTGGATCTACACTTCCCTATATCCCAGAATCTGATCCCAGATTATCTGCTTATCCCATATAATCCAGATTCATATAATCCAGTTCAAAGCACATTTTAGAATGTCTTTATACTAAACCTTCAGTTTATTAAGAATGCAGCTGCTGGCCTGAGGAAGTGTTTCATAGTTTTCTAAATGTTTGCTGTGATCTTGATGGGAAATGAAGCTATAATGATATCGCTATGATGCATCTCCCAATTTGATGTCTCCAATCCATTTTAAAAGCTTGTTCTGTGGCATTGGTGAATGGGGCAGCCAGCCCTGTCATCTCTTGTTGCCCCACAGTTTGCTCGAAATAAGGTTTTTGGATACGTCATCCTTCAAGCAATCTACTCATCAATCCCATACATTTCCTTTGTTTGGTATGATTGCCTGGCTTTTAAGGTGGGCTTTCGGGAGTATTTGTGCTCATGATAATCATGCAGCAACCATAACAAATAGCAACATTTACAAGTTCATAACTCTAGCTTACAACATCATAAATACTGAACAGGATGCAATTGTTTCGAATAATGTTTCTAAACACTGTGTGGTTGTGATGGACATTTGTCTTTTCCTTTATTATTCCATGGCCAGTTTCTACAATACAGAAAT